AAATTCGGCATTTAGGAATTTCAGGATGTGATGATTTTAGGGTCATAATGATATCAGAATATAGAAATTTCGGGCCATAGGGATTCTGTCGTACTAGAATTTGAGGATGTAGGAGTTTTGGGACATAAGTATATCTAAATATTGTATTTTGGGACATAGAAACTTCGACTTATAGGGATTTCAGAACATAACACTATCAGAATATAGAGATTTCGGGATATCGGGATTCCAGGGTATAGAAGTTACGGGATATAGTAATTTCGAAACATAAAAATGTTCGAATCTACAGTTTCTGGCCATCGAATTAGGACCACTACAAATTTTCAGCATTTTTCACGTTCTCCGTAAAATTCAAAGTTCTGTTCAAGTCACAATCATATAATTTAATAGTTACTAACATGATACAGTAGTATTGTATATAACATTATTAACACATATTGATATCTTGCATTTCTGCCCTTTGCTTTTATCCTGTGTTTGTATATCTTCATTACTTTCACAAATATCTATAATTCTTGTGTTCAACACAGACAATATGGTGCTTAAATAGTTGTAAACTAGTTTTTGAGTAGACATTTACCAAATTTGATCTCACACGCTTCGATACTCGAGTGTAACGTAAACACTTGCGGCCCTTAATCGTTTATCATCCACACAATTTGATTATTATCACAATAGTAACAAATCAATTGCTATGTACACATCGTTTCCAACGTATTTAACAATAACTGTACATAACCTAAAACAATTTTCCATACATGACATAATGTTATAGCCCAAAAGTGAAATTTTCGTACGTGGTCCTAATTCGATGGCCAGGTAGGTATTTTTCGGACATAGTACTTTCGGTGTATAAAAGTTTCGGGATATATTGACTCCAGGACATAATAACATCAGAATATAGAAAGTTTAGGATATACAAATTTCTTGAGAACGAAATTTTAAAGCTTTGCTAATTCAAGATTTTGTGATTTGGAAAATCAAAGAAATTGGGAATTTGGACATTTTCAAGCGCGCATACACAGTGAGTAACTTTAATATTCGGACACCACAAAATTTTTATTTTATTGCACTATAATTTTGTACATACCTGGCAAAAATATAAATGGTTAGGTATAATATTTAGGCACAGTGTCTCGTTAACAATAGGATAAATTTTGTTTACATTACATCAAAAATTCGTTAAATAATACGCGTTAAATAAAATATTAAAATTAAGAAAAAAATTACTTGTAAGTGTCCGAATATTAAAGTAACGTTAAATTTTGACATTGTTTCATTTAACACGTATTATTTTCCGAATGCTGCAAGTTATGGAAATAAAATTTATACTAACATTAACTAGACACGATGCTTTAATATTATATCTGACCACGCATGATTTTTGACTATTGTTAACAAAATTATAATCGAATAAAATACAAATTTTGTGATATCCGAATATTAACCCTTTGCGGTCGGTACCACCACTGTGGCGGCATTTTGAAGTCGTCGTAGAAGTCGGTGTCGTCGCTGTGGCGACATGTCGAAAATGTTTTAGAAGTCGGTGTCGCTGCTGTGGCGGCATGATCACATCTCCCAGAAAACAGAAAGCTAGCCAATTTCGGCCTCATGCGTTATTTTACCATCGAGAAATATATGATAAGTAAATACGAATAAAATAACAATGACTCCGAAAAGCTAAAGCGTTGACTTGCTGGTACTCCCAGCTGAAAAATCTGCCGACCACAAAGGGTAAAAGTTACTCACTGTATGTATGTTCGTTTTCCAAGGGAGGCCTACGTTGTGGGCGAGTGTGCACGCAGTTCGAAATACATCAGATGGTTTTGATAGTTCGAGTACGTTTAAAGGCATCTCTGATGTTGTCGAGTGGCAGGAGATCGTCGGGATGCTCGAAGTCCTTGAAGACTCGCATTCGGGTCAAACGACAGGAAATTTTGAAATACCTGACACTCGACCGATATCGATGTTCGTCACGTTCTCGAAATACACTCTAGCTGGCTGTATCGGGACTAGATAATGTCCGGAGCGTATCCATTTGCCCTTATTACTTCGACAAATGAGAGAATGAGAGTCTCTGGCTTGCCTTGACGCTCCTTACAAATCGATCCAACTTCCATACGATTATGCCTCCTGGCTATATACTCACTAGCGTGTAGCTGCTGGTACACGCGAAAACATGCTAATTCTATGTGCGAAAATAAATTGGACACGTAAAGTATGATTTGCTGGAAGCTTTTCGCGAAAATCGATTCGGAATACCTATATAGTATTATACCCTTCGTGCTCGCTTTGTGGTTAGAAAACTGCGCTCTCTATGGGATATCACGCTTTTTATGACCAATCGATTTTTCAAATTTAATATTTAATTAATGTGAACATGTGAAACTTTTGCAAATTTATAGGTTTGAATTTTTTAAAGAATGAAACTTTAAACATTTGTAAATTTCTGGATCTGAAGGTTTGAAATCTTAAAAACTTGTACATTGGCGAGCTAACTCAAGGAATTTAAAAATTTGTAAGTTTGAAGATTTTGTATTTTGAAAAATTGTAAATCCGTAACCCTTGAAACTTGAATTTCTTTAAATTTGCAGATTTGTGAATTGAGTCAAATTTGTAAACATTTGCAAATTTGTTAAGTTAAGCCTTCAAATTTTTTAAATTTGTAGATTTGTACATCTGAAGATTTGACTCTTCGAGAATTTGTAAACTTGCAAATTTATAAACTTAAAAATTAGAAATTTCTATAATGTAAAAATATGTAAATTTGCAGATTGAAAGATTTGAGAGTTCAGAATTTTTAAACTTGAACGTCTGAAAATTTAAAATTAGTAATATTTGCTTCGTAACAATTAAAATTTATTACTTTTCCAAAAATGAGAATACAGCGAATTATTTGTGTACATTTAATTTATTAGTAAAATTAAACTCAATTTACTTTCCGACTATCGATATAAATTTATAATATTAAATTTAAACGTAATTCTTTAAATGTCATTTAACAAATTCTTAATTTACCATTACATTAAAATTATTAAGTAAAATTTGAAATGCCGAAACCGTAGTTAAATACACGTATGTTTAAAATAAATTTTATCGAACAGGAAACCTTGCAGGCATAAATATTATTCTAGATTTTCCATTTATTTTTTCTTTTGAAATTACCATGCCATTTGCTAGTTATCACAAGTTATATGACGCTCTGCATATGATTATTCCACGTGACAACAAACCGCAACGTACACATTATGTGTCATTTCCAGTGTATCGGTTTCGACCTCGGTCACTGGCACAAATTACACAAATGAGAAGTGCGTGTGCGTCAACTTATTTCATTTTTTTCTCCATCTGAATATATAACAATAGCTTTTTTCATTTTCTATTTGTACAAAATATGTAACAATAATTTTTTTCATTTTCTTTTTTTAAACAGTTAAAAGTCCAGGGTTTTATTTTAACAATAAGACCATTGTAACGCAGCGATGGGCAACTGTGAAATTTGACACGTAAATTTGGTAATTTGACAATTTTTTTAATTCTGAATTTTGTAGATTTGAAAATTTGATACTTGTGTGGTTTTGTGATTCTAAATTTCTATATTCTTGAATCTTGTAAATTTTCTATCTTCTAACTTTATACATTTCCAAATAAGTAATCTGAATATTGGAAATTGAATTTTTGTGTTTCTAAATTTGGAAATTCAAAGATTTTATATTTCTGTATTTTTAAATTCCTGATTTTAAATTTTGGAAATTTTCTACTTTCTAAATTTATAAATTTCTAGATTGAATAATACGAAAATTGGAAAATTGAACTTCTGTATTTTTATGTTTCTAAATTTCTAAATTTGGAAACTCAATAATTCGATACTTCTATATTTTTAAATTCCGAATTCTAAATTTCATTATTTCTAAATTGAGTAATTTGAACGTTGAAAATTAAAACTTTTATATTTCTACTTCTCTAAATTTCCAAATTTATAATCTAAATATTTCCACACATAAGAAACAACTAGCACATTTCAAAATATTTGTATTTTCGAATTTTTTAAATGTTCAACTTTCCGAGTTTCTAAATTTCCTAATTTCTAAATTACAAAATTTTAAGTTTGAAATTTGCTTATTATTTTAAAATAAAAAAATGTTAACAAAAATTTATCGAATTTCAATCAAATTTTAATAAACGCTTATAAACTTTAATAAAAATTCTTTCATTTCCTAAATTAACATATCTTTAAATTTAAAAACTGGCTATTTCCAACATCAAACTTGAAAAAATAACTATTAAATTCCTACATTTCTTTTTAATATTTAAAAATTGAAAAATTAGTAAAATACGAAACGCCTGTACACCTCCAACTTCTCGAATCTAAAATCTGTAAGCATGCCAATTTCTTACTTTGATATCCTAAATTTCTAATGTATCATACTTCTTAACATCTAAATCTGATCCTTTGTTGATCTGTCCATTATTGTAACATGTACAGTACTGGATGGCCAAGAGAAAAGAGGCTCTGGATGATAAAAGAAGAGAAGAGGCTCTAATCACATGACCTCCCTTGAGCGCTCTATTCAAATATCAGTATGACTCCTTTTATCTTGGTCACCGAGTACTTACACGTTCAAGGAAATAATACATAAATACGTTGTAGTTAGTTTATGTGCACTATTTCAAACTATAATCGAGTAACCCTAATGTTTATGGATAATGTGTTTTTTCAGGTGGCGTGGGGTACGGCAGTGATGGAATTACAGAGCTGGCTGCTCTATCATCTTGTAGCCGTAACCGACTGTAATCAAGGTACACAAATGTTAACTGTATAATGCTCGGAATCATTCCCATGAACGAGAACATCAACACCAACATGCACGTCTTTCGACATCGTTCTACGTTGCTTGATTACCTTCGTCGATACATCACTTTTCTTTTTTTAAAAGTCACGCAATCATTAATTCATTTTTGTATCCTTGGTTTATTTTAGTTACTTTTGCCTGAGTTTCAACCGTGCTCATCGAGTATTTCTTTAATTCACTCACAATCCCGTTATCGCCTAAAGGAAACCGCAGTCCACCAATGTTTGATGGTAAGTTTTCATCATTACATCCGTCTTTTACTGTGATCATTAAAACTCCGGATGTTTATGTACCCAGAATATCTAGAATACATCGGTTAAAATAGCTCAACTCCATCTAATATGAAACACCTGATTTTAAAAGCTTGCCAGAGATGTTTTCTCTTCAGTAAAAAAAACTGAATTGATAAATAATTAATAAATATTATTAGTTTATCATAATGTGTTGAGATTATGGTAAGAAAATATGAAAGAGTTAAAAGTGAGTTGAAAAAATGGTATCCAGTATGAAACGCAAAGAAAAACTTCATTTTTATTATGAATGCATACTTATTTAAGTAAAAGAGAAAAGGAGACAAATGTCTTATACTGTTTTCGATTTGTCTGATGTGATTTTCTTTTTCTGTATGTTGAGCATATTACTTACACGCCAACGTATTGACCCATTTTTTTGCTGTTATTATTACTGTGATGTACTGCTCCTGCTCGATGTATAACCGCTTGATAAATAGCCGTTAGAAACAGACTCTTTCACATGCATTAACAATATATATGCCCTCATTCAATTGCCTTGTTGGATAAGGAACAGAATATGCATATATCTCCATACTTTTTATTATATCGAACATTGATTTTTTTTAAATTTAATGTTTTAACTATTCTGAATAGCAATCAATTAAATTACGTATACTTAATTTATATGACTTGTGAATAATTCTGTAAATGGATAAAAATATATAACAAGTGTGAAGTTCTTTTTGTTATATAAATTTTTATAAATGTACAGTTTATTTTTGGACTGTGATGTATTGTATAGAAAAAATGCAAACATAGGTGAAAAAACAATATTCGGCTTCGTTTAAAGAAAATTTTTCAAAAAAATAAAAATTGACTTAAAGACCATCTTATATGACACAACTGTACTTATATTAATAATTATTTCCATTGAGTAAAGATTGCAACGCTTTGACCGCCTTAATCATTTGAATTATATTTAAAGACACTTATAAAAAGGTTTAATTATAAAAATTAAATGGACGTCGCGGTGGCCATAAAATAGTAGTAAAATTTTGCTTAAGTAAAAAATCTCAGATTGTAATATTGACTGTTTCACCGCTTTTCTTTTTTAACGAAACAGCATTTTTCACATAAACCGATTTTTTTTTTTTAATTCTAAGTAAACAAAAATTACCATTAAATTAAAAAAATTCGCAAGATAGTTCAAATTATCTCTGTAATGTATAAAGGACTTTTATAGAATATCCTTTAATACCCTATTACATAAAATATTCCAAAAGATCGACATAAAAAAATTATTTTAGTTTCATTTCAATATATGGTGTCAAACTTGAGATCGTCAAAAATTTTCCATTTACAAAAGAAATGACTATATTATGACTTTCTATACACCATATAAGTTTTGTAAATAGTCTTTGGTAATTATATAGAAAAGGGTATACCTTGCTGATTTTAAAGACCTTGAAATATGTTGTCAGGGACATCAAACTGAACAACTTTTTCCTATACGTACATACATATAACCACAGTTCGATTTTACTTTCAGAGATATTTGTAAAAACATTTTCATTATGGTAATTATTTACAAAAGGACGTACACTTCATTGATTTCAATGACCTTCAAATATATTATTATGGTCAACAGTCTGAATAACTTTGTTTATGTATGTAATCACCTCTCGACCTTAGCTTCTATGATACACGCCAAAAACTTCAGTTAAATTTGCGACCTATGATAATTCAAAACAGCATATATGTATTCACTTTATCGCTTGTTTTTTTTTTAATATCCTTATATAATGTGTTTTAATGTATCATCATTTGACAATAACACGTATGGTGTAGTAAAAAATACACAGTGAATGTGTGCGATTTGGTGGTATAAGCTTCTTTTAATTATGGAGGTCAAATCTAATTTTCTGTAATTCCCTAATTTCCATATTTTGGATAAAAGTCCAGAGGCTTAAATTTTATAATTTTTAAATCTTCAAATTTCGAAATTCGTACATCATTGAATTCCTACGTTACAAAAATCTTGCATTATCAAATTTTCTCAGGTTTGGTCTGACAAATATGCAGTATTCCCACATTCTCAAGACCTCACATTCCCAAACCCCCATATTCCTCAATTCTTACGTGCCCATATTCATAAATTCCTAAACTTTTAAATTATCACATTTCCAAATCTACATATTTCCAAATTATCGCATTTGCAAATCTTAATCAAATATTTAAATGATCATTCTCAAATATTTAAATGATCACATTTCCAAATTCTCAAATTCTGAAATTATTACATTTTTAAGCCCCTCAATTCTCAAGTTATCAAATTTCTAAATCTCTCAATTCCCAAATTATCTCATTACCAAATCCCCAAATTCTCAAATTCTGTAATCATCATATTTCCAAATCCTAAACTCCTCAATTTGAGATATTCTGAATAATTTCTTAAAGAAAGCCAAATTTGCTCATGAATATACTTGAGTATAAATATTATACAATACATATTTAAGAAAAAAAAAATAATAATATCCCACTGTATATGTGGCTACAACCAGAAAGCAGATAAATAAACACCGGAATGAACGCGCGCTACATTGGCCGCTCGATAAATATCCACTTTCTCGAAAAGTCTCCAAACTCCGAAGTCGAATATTCATCAAGCTATTATTGTACTTAGAGTAATATAATGAAAACATAAAAATGTATGTAATATTAATAAAGAACATGTTCCATATTATAAATACTCAACGAATTTCACATTGAGTACATATACACGTATTTTGATCGGAAAATTATGCTAAAAAAATTAATTTAATCATAAATTCCTTTAAGTGTTTAAAAGCAAATTCGTTCAATCCTTCTAGTACTGATTGAAAGAATTGCGCTTATGAGACAAATGGAGAATATCGAATCAATTCGATTTAGTAAAGTGTGAGAAAATATTTAAAGTAAATAAAGAATGATATTTACAAAGCTGAAAAAGGAACGAAATTAGAATATTACAAAATTTATGGACAAGAAATGAGTGCCAACTATATTTCATATGTGTTGTTAACAAGGTTGTTCAGCATTAAAAGAGTTAATAACAAATCTTGCGAAATACAATATGTGTAACAACTTACTCTCATTAATAAATGTAATGGCTTAACTTGCTCTTTAGAAGCTTTTAAACATTATAGAGTACAATAATGCTCCGAATTAAATATTTTTTACTGAAACTCGAATTTTAATATGATTGCTTACTGTTTATAACGAAATACTTTACATAGATTTTGCTATTTACTTTGTGAAATATTTTGGTGTTTCATATTAGATGCTGTTCTATAGCAAGTCACAATTACTCTAAATACGAAAGATAAAATATAAAAGTAATACCTCCTATTTTTTGTTTATTTGAAAACTGTAATGTAAAGAAAACGATTTATGATTTTGTCAAATAATTAGCGAATGTTTATGAAAAATTCAAGAATACCTCAATAAGGTAATTTTAATATCTCTATAATTTACAAAATACATCCATAATTATAGCAATTTCAGTTCTTGAAAAAAATACAGGTACTACTTTTGTATTAATCCTTGTAACATTATATGAACATATGCATAGATGTAGTATAACTTAGTTAGTAATTTTTAAATAACTAAAAACAGCAACAACGAATTAACTTATCACAAGTTTCTTATTTGTGGTATAAATATACAAGGACAATAATACGTTATTGTAATAATGATATAGGGCAGAATAGAATTTTTATTATTAAGATTAAATATCACAATTCCATCATTCAAAGTTCATTTGCTATGAACTAAGAATATATTATAAGGGAAGAAGCGGATTGTATTGCACCCAAGTAATGCTTTGTCACTCATAATAACGAAAGGGTTAAGGTTAACTTAATGCAACCTTTTTTAATCGAAGTTCCTTGAGATGGAGATCAAAATCCACATAAAATTAGTACTTTTATCCATCATAATGGCAAACCTTAGATTTAATATTCTAAATTATAAAAATTATTAAGAAGTTTTTATCAAAATATTAACTTTTCTTCAGAAAAAAAAAATCATTGTATAAGCTTAAGTTAGTTTACTTATTTTTGTACTTTAGTTTCTATTAAAAGACAGCTGGTCATTAACCAGTAAATCTAGTGTTAATGAATATTGGTGAAAAATTTTCTACTTATGAAACATGATCTATTAATAGTGATATTGGTTCAAGATCCAATTTGCGATGCTTGAATTAAAAAGGTAAAAATACTTCGATGAGTATAGCCTGTCATTAAACCGAAGAGAATTAACGTATTTAAACTCGTTCACATGAATTCCTCATATTTTTTTTATACTTTATAACAAGAATCATCAAACATTTTGAATAATGGCCCTCGTTAATATTTTCAATAACCTGAAAGCCCGACGAAAAATATTTTTCTTGAAAATTTATTAGAACATTAATTTACATTGCATGTATAAAAAAATATAGTTCCTAATGAAAAATATCAAAGCTAAAATTCAAAACTTAACCTGTTAACTAGGTGTGACGAAATATTTCTACTACTATTGTAACGGGCATGGACAAAGACATTGTTCGTCAATTTTTCAACGATTTTTCGAAATATTTTGCCTTTTCAAAATTTGTAGTAATATTTTGAACACCTTGAGTTTTAAGTAGTTCTTATCTTTCATTATAGTCTGCATTTCAGTATTTTACACATTAGTAATAACTTGCTTTCTTGAGTATTTGGTACTTGAGGTGTGATGATATAACTATGAAGAAAAAAGTACCCATTGTGAAACGAGGTGAACAAAAATTTATTCCCCGATTAGTAGGTTAATATCATTTCATGAAACTAATATTTTTTATTATATAATATTTATATATAAAAGTCGGGGAACATACTTGGAGGGCCATACTTTGGTGACCGCTGCTTTACGAGATATTATATTTATCTGAATATATTTAAGATTTCAATTGTATAATTGCTATAAAAATTTGATACGAATGGTATATAATGTTTTACATAACGTATTTTATTATAGATCTTTAAATTAGAAATATTAGTTAGTAATTCTCAATAATAATACTAATACTGATTGCCGCATTAACGCGTTGAATGTTGTAACTTGCGTTAGAAATTTGACGTTTCTAAATTACAAAAAGAAAATTGTGAATGTCATTAATATTATACTAAATTAAAACTCCGTGACCAATGCCGATATAGAAAAATGTCAAAGGAGGAGATATATGGTTCAAAGAGTATTATATTCGTGAGATAAAGTTCTTTTTGTAAGGGTAGTGGTCCATATAAATACCACGGTTGTATAATATTTTTTTTTTTTCAAATCTGAATATAAATACATAATTTTTTGCACAATTGAATTCCTCTCGCCATTCTTAAAAAAAGTACTAGAGTACAATAGTGAAAAAATTATTAGTTATGGAAGTATTTTAAAAAAATATCTTTATTTACTTTACAGAATTTATAGAGTTTGAATAAATTTTATCTTTCAAATAACCACACAGAAAAAATGAAGAAAATTTAGATCAGACGAGAGGAGTAATCAAGACCATGTATGTCAATAAGTTTATTCTCATACTTATTATTTAAAAATTATATAATCACTCTTGAATTGTACATCAGTGCGCCATCTTACTTGAAGAATTCCAAATTTAGTTATCATGAAGTGCTTAAGCAATAACGTTTTCTTTAAATATTTTGAAAAATAATAATTTTTTTACTGTTGTTCCTCAATGTATTTTTACGTAGAATAACGAAAGAAACCCAACTGTGTAAAAAGATTAAAAAAATAATTCAGTTGTTGAACACACGTGCTCCAGTGCATTTTTGAAAATTTGATCCACTGAATATAGTACTCTTTGGATCATTAATTTCTTTTGCTATTTTTCTGTATTACGACTAGTAACAGAGTTATAATCTGATACAGTTGCGTGAGCCATCCCGTACAATGTTGTCCAAAAAAGTTAGGGCCAAACTTATACCATGTGTTACTGAAATTAAGTAGATGAAATAAGTTCATATAAACTTATGTCCAAAGATACTTTATTGAAAAGATACACGCGTTCAAAGATATTTATGATTTATTGCGATGACATTCGTCGAATTAATTGCCGAATTCTTTTAAGTATTCCAACTGTATTGGAAACAATAGTAGATGCAACTTGAATACATTTTCAAACATTTTGTTTATGTAAACAGTAACTGTCACTGACAATTATATACATATATGATTTTTGTATTTTTAGTTTTGTCCATAAATCTGTGAATACTTATATCTGTCTGATAAAACATTTCGAGGATTTAGAGTCAGACAACATAACTTCAAAAATTCACTTTTCGTCTTAATGACACGAAAGTTGTACGTTTCGACTATAAAAGTGTTATTATGAAAGAATGAATACTTTAAAACTTTTTGGAAATAACGTTTTGATTTTGTTAAATTTATTGAGAATCAAAAAATGCTAAGTACACGCATTCTCTGACTACAACTTATTGTTTTTGGATTTAACGTTGTCTGATACTAAACATTCGGACTAAACAGTCTCGATTTTCGGACATAAATTTATATGAACATTTATCTGACCTCTGTAATATGCAGTGTAAGAGTTATTCCAATCCTCTTAGACACCTTGTATATAAATAATCATAACATTATACTCCACGCTTTATTTTATACTACTCACAATACATGTTTAATATGAGAGTTTCCCATTTACCATCTTTATTTACAATAACATATACATATAAAGTGATTACCCTTGTATGTAAAAACCCTTGGTCAGGGTCTCCCTTTAAGGACCGAAAGGTCGATTTTATTGAAGAGTAATCGCTTTTTATAAATGATTATAAATAAAAATGAAAAATGAAGTTATCACACTTCATTGTAATGTATTTAAACAAATTATTTAACAAAATTTGAACAATGCTCTTAATTTAGAATATTTAAAAATGCTACACGATTTTTTTTTAATTTATTATTCTCTAAAAAGCTGGATATGAAATAAAAGCACGTTAAAATATTAACATCTAACAGTTAAGACCAAACGCTACTTAAACATTGTCGGCAAGATTCAAACGCGATCGTAAAATTATTTAAGCGAGTAATGTATCTAAGATTGAATTAATTCTGATGACGTTGCGAGAAATAACTAAAATTCTAAGCTATGGCTCTGTAAAAAAATTTTTCAATGTTGAGCATCTACATATGTGCTTTGTGTCAATGATGGGCAGATCACGTACTCATCCGAAAATTCACGTGCCACCGGTATGGTCGGTAAGTGTAGTGATAAGGTATCAGATATCAAAGGCGATATAAAAAAATTTAGGAATTTGCGAATTTGAAAATCTAGTAACACAAACATTTCTATCTCCGAATTTTCACATTTTTAATTTTTCGAATTGTCAAATTTAGAAATTTGATAATTTATCAGTTCTATTTTTGTATATACCCAAATTAAATTATCAAATTTAAACTCAATTTAAATTTCAACCCAAATTAAATTATCACATTTCTAAATTCAGAAATGTGGAAATATTAAAATTCCAAATTTTCCAATTCGGACATTGAGAAAGTTAAAAATTTAAAAATATAAGAATTTCAAATCTTCAAATTTGACCACTTGGAAAATTAAAAGATTAGAAATTTGCGAATTTCATATCCACAGAATTTTAAATAAATTCATATGTAGAATTAAATCATATAGGATTTAATATAGCATACACGAATAAACGTCGTTTGCACATCCATGCACTGCACCCTCATGGTAGTAGTCCAATAGTGTTGTCCTTTACTATTCCACCCAAAATATCAATGCCGGCCAAAAGATATTTTAAATAACGAATAAATTTCAATATGTTCAGTCAGCCGAATTGCTACCGCTTTTGTTTTGATTACAAAAACAAAAATTGATCACACACGAATACGTAACCGTACCATAGATATGATCTCTACCGACCTACATACGAAAATGTAATTTTCAAACTAATACTAACACAAAATAGTTTTTTAAATCATTATAGGTGATTAAAGAATCACCTATATTTACTCATGCATTTCGTTTTAATTGCTTCAATTTCGTTTTTAGAAAGGAAGTAGAATAAAATAATTTGTTCACACATTGAAATCGTACTTTTTAAAATAATGGTTACTTTAAATTGCTTGAGGTGCCTAACAATTGCTGCAAATCCAATTCTAATGATTTAAATTTCAGAAATTGCTAAACCTCAAATTTCTATTGAAGATAGGAAAAATATTTTTTTTGAAGTGCGGTACATATGTATACATCTATGAATCACATACATACAATGAACCAATAACAGTAAATGTATAGCAAATGAAATTTTATCCACTATTCATTATTCCAACAGACACTAAAACTGCCTTGAACCCCCGAATTGTTTAATGGAACACTTCCACGTATTAGAAAACCATTATCTAAACAAATAATTTGAAATGCAAGAAATGAAAAATCAGAAATTAAATCTAAATAATCGCTATCTCCGTAATTTAACGTTAAAGGATTATCGTCCCCAATCTGCACCGTTCTTCCGGTCCTGAACGTATTAAGAATACCGTAAATATGTTTACACAGTAGGGGTTAATAATAACCGGAGAATGTTACAATTAACGACGTGCGAACATTATTGTTGGACATATTACATGCCATAGCAGACACGAGTATTTTTACTGCACCAGTCGAAACATGTTGGTATATTTACTCACGATTCGACTGAACTCGGCTCGATGCCCTCACCGAACAGAGGGTCGATTATTCAAGCCGTATCTCGTCAAGTAAATATGGAATTTCTTTTTTAGTGATGCAGTCGGCGACTACACTGAACGGCGGATCTTATCCAGCCGGCGGCACCGGAAGTCGCGCTCGTGATTTAGGTCTTCGAGCCCAGAAAAAACTGCTCGGCAGAGTGGTATCTACCGGGGCCGGAAGATCTCTTCTGATAGACGATGCCACCACGTCGCTTTTGGACAATCTTTACAAGCTCATGGAACGAGCAGCGAAAGCTAATCCTAACTTGGACAAAAAGCAGCCTGAAAAGGTTTTAAAGAACATCGTTAAGCTATCCATCAAGGTACGGTATCTCAAGTTCACCCCTTGACACAGATATGCAAATTACTGTGGTTTTCAATAAACACCAGAACGATCCTTTCTTTCTTTGTTTTTATAGATAGGTCTTTTGCAACGCAACCAACAGTTGAACGTCGCTGATGACGCCAAACTCGCTGAAATAAGGACTACCCTCAGAGCCGTGGCGATGTCTGTGGTGTCGTTTTACGAACTGGAGTTCAGTTTTGATAGGGCGTATTTAACTAAGTCATTAGAACGCTGCCGAACCGCGATACAAACTCTTATTAAGCCGCATCTCACGGATAAATCTCAAGACCGATGCGACCAGGTGTTCGATTTTCTAACGCACTCCGATTTCTTGGACTCTGTCTTCAGACAAGACTCTGAACTCAGACCTATCCTGGGGATGCTAGTCAGTGATATAAATAAGGCCTTAGATGCTGGGCATCTTTGATTCCTTTCTTTCTTCAAATGCAATTACTTCTACATGATCAATTGAAAGAAAGAAAAAATTGGTAAGGAAATGTGGAGTTGAAGTATAAATGTACTTGCAAAAATGTTATGATAACACTGTGCAACAAACTTTAATTTTATGTTTTGCAATAACCAGTAAGTGATTTTTGGAGATTTTCATGCATCGGTTAAGAATCTTGAACCGCTTTCTCATCTTTAGTTTTTGAGAAATTCAATTTTGAAGGAAAAGTACAATTTTCAAATTCAATGGTTGGTTCAAAGAATGAATTACATCATATCCTTCTTTAATCGAACAAAAATTAATTCATGTTGTAGTTAATTACTACACAGTTTTAAGCGAGTTCTTAAAATTATGAAGTTAGTAATATATTCTGAGCTCACATTTAAAACAAACCAATATTTGTAGTAGTACATGATGTTCCATGTTAGAGAATATTATTTAAAGAAACCAATCAATATCCACAAAGGTGATATTATACTGTATAACATTCTTGTAAAAAAAAGTATACAGGGGATTTACATATTACCAACTTCATATTTTTAAAGATGACCCTTCAAAACTGTGCACTGCCAATGAAAATATAACTGAACTGAATTCATCATAAACTACATTTTTATCGTTTATCGCACTTTTTTAATGACAAAGCTAATTCATTTTGAATTGGTTGAAGTTTGGTTAGGTTATATTTTTAAAAAGTTGTACATTACATTAGGACTTTACTTAAAATTTAAGTATTTCATACATTGTCTAAATAATGTATATTACCTAGAAAATGTAGGAAATAATAGTTCGAAACTATTATATTTTGTACATTGCCTATTACATATTTAAATTCTCAATCAGAAATGAACTTTGTTTTGTAGCTTCATTTGATAACGGTCACAAAAATCATCATTTTCAAGATATAGTTAAAATTATCCAAACAAATTAGCACGTGACGTATATCTTATCGCGATGAGAATGTACAAAATCTGCAAGAAAAGTTGTATAACTTTTACTTTTAAAGTACAATAGATTCTTAAAACTGGGAAACCGTTTATTCAAAATTAAGTTTCTCAAAAACTAATGATGATTTATAGAAACAGATTTCTTATGTGGTACATGAGAATTTACAAAAATCTCTTATTGGTTATTGCAAAACGAAGTACGCGTTGCACAATGTAATTAAAGGAAAGATAGCGAGTTTCTTTCCCGATTAGTTTTTAAAGAATGAAAAATTCACATGTAGTACAGTTACTTATAATTATCGATAACTATGTTTTCAAATGCAAGAAGACAAATTTTGAGATACAACAATGCTCACCAATTTATGCAATAATTGTGAAATACTCTATTTATTTTCAGAATGTATATTATACGATCAGTGTATATTTATTTACGATATTTGAGTGTTAGGAGTATACTGAGTCTGGGAGATATAGTGGGGTCGTAAATTAAAAAAAAAAAAATGAAATGGGGACACCTACCCATGTAATTGCGCCGAAGGCCGTACTTTAAATATCAGACTGCGCCCAAAAAATTAATATCAAGGTTATATTGTACGGTCCTGAATGAAACTCGAACTACTTATCACCGAAAAATCTATTGTGTCTTATTTTAATTTCATGTGCTTTCACACTTCAACGATTTTACGGCCACAATATACATCTCAGATCTAGCATACCAGTTGTCGATCTATACCAAAAAAAGGAGAAATGAGCTTATTTATGCCCTAGCATGGGCTTTTATAGTAATGATGATAAAATAACAACTCATTAGTTCCAACAGAATGACGCGTGAAAGAAGCAATTTATTATCGTTGGGATCACGCTAATATAGACACGTGCTCCGAAAAGAAGATGCCTTTCAAAGGTTTCATCTTCCGCTCGTCAAAGAGAGTCTGGGTCTCTTCACGTGTCGGCGAGTGTACACACGGGGCAAAATTGACCTCCGTTTTTATTCAAGCTGCGCCTCAGTACATTGTCAACACACACACATAATAAACACAACATATCTAACGTAGTCATGGCTAAGCCTGAATCATTTACATCACATGTGTTTTGTATGCATTATACACGTTTTACACATTCTTTGTGATGATTCTAAATGAAATGCAAATATTGTATCGATATACCATTAATAAATTATTTATAAGGAGACAAATTTTTCCTGTTTTTTTTTTAAATCATATTTTGTTTTGTAAGCGTTATTACTTCTTCTCTTGGTTAGAAGAATTGATAAATACATTTTCAATCTTGGCATGTTTATTTACATTAATTATTTAGCACATTCGCACACACAAAATTACAATATTGCAAAATGTACGTTTACCGTCCAAGTAGTACTATTTATGAGAAAATCACCAAATAAACATTTAAAAGAAAAAAGTAATATGATTCACTATTGTAATGGGTTCAAACAGAATGTTGTATGTATTTGTTTAAAAAATTTGTTGTTACAATAATTTGTGGAAACGTAACAAGAATTAAGCTGACTGTAAATTTATTACAAATTTCTATGCACACATATTACTTGCACTGGATAATTTTCTAACAATGAAATATACTGTAAATTTTTGAAACAAAATATTCAAAAAAGAGCTTAAGATGTTATTTATTACATTGTCCCTCTATTCTTAACACAGATAATAAATACTTCTGTAATAACATTTTATTATAGATCTAGGAACACAACCATACAGAATAATGATAACAAATTAAATTACATTTTTATAACGAAAAGAAAAAAATACATATAACATGTTCTTCTCTGAACAACAGAAGATATCTGTTAAGAGATACAAGGACAAATCGGTCGACATTATGCATACTTTGCTTTCTTACAAAAATTTTCTCTAATATCTCTTACGGTAAGCATAATACATCAGAGAACATTTTGCTGCTATAATAATGCAGTGATTATAACTGCACAAAATTGTTTTATAACTTATATATATACTTCAAGTATAAAAATTATTTATTTATACCTTTTCTATTGCATTATTTGAGATAAAATATGTGATACTTAGATTTTATTATTTGTGATATCAGTACGACAAATTAGGACGTTTTAAGATGGACATCGTGTTGTGTATAGAAAATAGTTGTTACTTAAAACATTTTATATGAAAGCAATGAACTGAATTTAGCAATTATTATTAAGATAGAATAGTCTAAATGCATAAAATTATGGCAGACATTAAAAACAGAATTACATATCATATTTTGGTTCATAGTATTTATAATAAAAAGTACATCTGATAGTCCATATTAAAATGCATTTCAATGTATTCGTTCATTATGTATCATCACATACATGTTTTGTATAGTTTAATTATGAATTTATATAAATACAACACACATTTTTATTTATTATGTTATGTAATGATTTTATGAATATATGTCAACAATTTGTAATCTGTCAATGTACAAGCATACAGAATATATTTTGTTATCATATATTCACCATGATACATTGATAAACCAGTTACTTATTGTTTACATGTTAACAATTTCTCAATCTTCTAAAATGTTCTATTCTAAGCATCGAAAATACACTTATATCTTTGCTGCAATAATGAATTCAACTTGTAAGACAAGGAGAAACATAACAGTGAACTTTATCACTTAAGTACACCAAACTCTTAGTATAGCTTTTAAAAATCAATCTGTCTGTTTTAAGTTTCAAATGGCTGCGCATAAAGTCACTGTCAGAAAATTTAATTCGTAAATGCACATAACTTTTATTCATTAATACTTCAATGTCGAATCGCATAAGATACAGGTAATGAATTTTACTAAATTTGAGCAGTTGTAATTCAAAACATTTACACTATATTTTTACATTTTTGAAAAACTAATTCTTACAATAAATATATTTTATGTTCATGACAAATTTGTCTTAAAAGAAAATTACTCGTTAAAAGTGATGAATTATTTTTCTTTTCATAATTTTTCATTTAACAAAACAATAACAACTACTGTGCACATTTAAAAAATACTTATTAGCTCATGTATCGATCGAAGTTATAGATGTTTGAAGTTGTACTATTTAATACAGAAGTATGTTATAAAGGTTTTAAACAGTCATTGTTTTTCTAAAATAAGCTTTTGTAACATATTTATTGTATATTGTTCTTTTTAAGGCCAGTATTAAAATTTCAACTTGATAAATTGTATCTGATAAAACTTAATGTTCATTGCAGTGTTATTCGTTGACTACTTCGCATATTTTCATTTCTATCAAGAGATGTACATATACAACACAAATTATAAAGAATACATTAAAAATCACACTATGTAAATAATACGAAAATTTAAATCAGTGATCATAACACATAACATAATTTTCTTCAAAGGTCATTTGTAGCATACCATAAAAGAGATTCTCATTCATTATCTTGTTCAATTTCATACATAATAGCTAATATTAGTGCAAAATTTTACATTAAATAGTAGATAAAATTAATTCAACAACTTTATAACGGTGATGTGAAATCATGATATAAATTATATAAATTGCAAAATCATCATTTATAAGATAATTGTTTTAAACTCAAACTAAAAATTTCAACTTTTCTTTCTCGTTAATGTATAAACGTACTAATGCGATTGCTTAATAAAGCAATCGAGGCAGTCGAGATATATACACTTTTAAAGTTCATTTTCTTATTACATTTGTCTACTTTCTTGTTTGTATGTGAGGTATAAAAATTTCTGATGAATGCATTTTCTCAAAATTTTAATAAATAGAAAAGGAACAAAATCATATGTATAAGAGATATGAAAGTACCACATTATTGTAATCAGAAAATGTTTCTTAAACTCTAAGGGAGGTGTATATATCCTTTTAGATAAAATCTTGATTATGCATATTTAAATGTACAACTTATAATTACTTACGTAAAAATCGATGCGGCTCTTTATTCGGCTAAAATTAACTTTATTGCCATAATCCTGCATAATTACCATAAAGATTTACAGGAAGTGGTCCACCAGCTGTAAATAGCCGCGTTCCGGATCCATCATAGCAATGAGTATATATAGCAGGTGTATATTTCACGTTTTGGAATCCATCAATGTACTCTTCATCTGGAAACTAATATCATTATAAAAATAAATATTATATTCCTACAAAGATAACCAATTTTATTATGTTATTTAATTAAACAATGTCTGTCTGCCTGCATATTTTTTCAAAAAAACTATGGACTATGTTTATTAAGATCTAAAGTACATTTCTAACATGAAAGAATTATTATTTCTCTAGCAATTTAATTAGGTGCATTTGAAGGATAGATATAATATAAATAATATAATTACAAATAAATTATATTTATACAATAATATCCCGCTTAGTGTTCAAAATAGATACTTAAAAAACAAAGCATTAAATAAAATAGTATTAAATGAAGTCATTTTAACTCATATTAAATAGGGATAAGGAAGCATGCAACTAAAAGTATAAGTTTTACTATAAATTTAAGTTACTTCTATATTAATTAACATACATATACAATACATATAGCAAAGTACAGTGTTACAACAAAAATTTATTTAAAAGAAAACAGCGTTATACTGAATTAGCATTAATTCAAGTTGCGCAAAACGACGTTTTACTGTACAAATAACTTATAATTTGTGTCATTAGATAAGAAATAAACAGTATTTATAAACATTTGCATTTTCCTTGTGTTTGGTTATAGTTATCATATGTGATAACAAAAAATGTGAGAATTTCAACTAATTTAGTTATTGAATTTAAAAAATATTCATAAAAAGAGAATTTATATTTCTGAACAAAGATAAATCATCACAAATTATGACTAGAGTAAAAGATGCATAGTGGGTATTAACTACCGTTTCTTAAAATGTTTTATAATCTTTAAAAGTTTATGTTTTTTATTGATATAAATAAATACCCAATATTAATAAATTGAAATCTTTAGGAACGTTTTTCGCATTAAACATAAAGTTAAAATTATATGGCATCCAAAGCATCTAACAATAAGACCTAAAACAACACTGTGGGAACAGGAAAGTGTTACATGTGTACAAAATACCGCATACTATATGTCTCTTCGCGCCATACCGAACGAATACCTATTATGGTTGTTTAAATTTAAATTAAAAATGTCATAACACTTACCACATATCCTTTTGAAGCTTTTAATACTACAGTCCTATTTGAATTGATTGAAGACTCTAGATACTTTTGCGCTCTAACATCGTAAAACATTAGCATTCCTAAACCTGTTCCAATTGTCAAAACAGAACCTTGGAAACTAGCCGATCGGATTCCACAGCCGCTATATCTGTACAAAAAAATACGTTTGAAAAAAATTCTAAAAAAATTCCAATAATCGTAATATAATTACATAGTATAATTACGATTATTACATACCGCGAAGGTATTTTTTTTATGGGCTGCAAAGTTCTTGCATCTAACAGTAGAGTATAAGAACGGCAACCTACTGCATAAACGCCGTCATCTTGTACAGCAAGACAAACATTTTCTTGACAAGCTGGTAATTTTCTAGATATTTTTTGTCTGAAAGTCTCAGCGGACCATATATGTATAAAACTATTCAGAGTGAGAGCAGCAATTTCTTTATAGGTCCTATTAAAAGCAAGTGCTCGTACTTTTTGTGCTGATCTACATTCCTTGACGCACACAGGTCGAATCAATCTAATAAAAAGAAGAAACAAAATAATATCTGAGTTACAAAACATTCTTAATAGATGCATTTTATATTGTGCAACCTGTGTGTTGGTACATCTGCTTTGTCAGGGGCTTCTGCAAGATCACTGTCTATATGCCATAAAGCCATTTTGGTATCTCTAGCACCAGAAACTAAAAACTCATCATCTAACCAACACATATCGAAGACCCAGTCTCTATGGCCTTCTTCTCCTACACACACTGGATCTAAAGTTGGTAACCTATATATTGCTATTTCGGTACTATTTCTTGCTCCAGTTGATAGAAGAGTTCTATATAAAATAATTTATAAACAATAACAAAATAATGTTGGATATTTTAAGCAACATTAATTCATCTGATTACATACCTAGAAGGATTTATTTGAACAGAATGTATACCACATTGTTGCTCGGGAACAGCACCACCTCCTGAATTAATTTGTCTTCCATGCAGAGATGGTATTTGGTCTAATTTCTGTGTTGCTACATCATAAACCATCAATTTGTTGCATTTTGTTCCGAATACTACTTGCCTATCACTTAACCATTGAGAACAAAAAACCTTATTCATATTATTTAAGCTAACCGAATATTCTTTGTACAAATCATGAGTTAATATATGTCGAAATCCATATTCCTGATTAATCTTTCGCACTTCTCTTGTATTTGTTTCTCGTGCACGCACATAATCCACAAAATTAAAAGAAGTCTTTAGGTACTGTACTCCTTCACATACTGTGTCTGCTTCATCGTCACTTGATTCATAACAGACAAAATCTTCTGGCTTATCGGGTTTCCGATTTCTTTCTAACCTTATTGCTGCTCTGTAAGGAGAAAATGTGTTGTTGATGTTTTAAAGCAAACCATAAAAATTATTTATAATTTACCTTTTAGCATGACGTTCTTCTAAACGATTTCCATTAGCACAAGGAGGACGTGTACCATACACAGGTATTCTTTGCGTTTCAGCCATTATACACAGATTTTGTAATGTATAAATTACAGGGCCTTAGAGTAATTAAATGTTGTTGTAAATAAAATTGTTTTAATAATTTATTGCAATTAGTCTTGTCTATTTAAGGTTTAAGATTTTTTTTTACAACATAGCCTTCAAAATATAATATTAAATATTGTTAATTATCACATCCAATTAAATTGTCCTATCTAGTTGAAACATGAATATGTGTTCCTACTGTTACAGTCAAAGCCAAAATTTATTTATTTGACTTCCAAAAAGGAACTGATCACTTTAAAACTGTTTAACCATTGTAATGATAAATAAAAATTTATCATACAACATTGGAACGTCAAAAAATTTGAAAATTATTAAAAGAATTCCAACTTTCCGGGATGAAATATTTATAAACGTCGTTGGTATGCAGTGAAATAACAAGAAACTATCTTGGCAGCAGTTCTTCTTTGACTGGAACAAAATCAAATTAAAAATTAAAACAATTTTTAGGAAATAAAATTTTTTCATTTACCATAATGTAAAGAATATGTGCATATATATTCATGGCTTTATAAACATTTATGAAATATAACAAACCTTAGTAGGACGGCAATTGCCGAATCTACTGTGCTGCCCGAGCGAAATAACTTTTCGGATGAAATCTTTTCTTTATCACATGCACAACTTCATAATTACGCAACTCGTATGCACTTATAGATAATCATAGGAATATCAAGGCTTCGTACCAAAATTATACAAAGAAATACAAAAGAATATCAAGAAATTCATGATAAGCAAGGAGACCTTCGAAGCACTAAGCAACTAACCATCGCCATATTGAAACGAACAGTAAAACCACATAAAATTCAACAAAGCAAGCTGAAATTTCCTAAACATGACGGTCCGGATTCTTTCAAAATATTGGAAAATGTTTTAGAGATGATGGAGAATCATCTAGTTCTTGAGCAGTTACGAAAGTTAAAGGGAGCAACCTTCCATCAATTGTCAACAGAAGTTCCCCCCCCCC